GGGTATGAAGTTCAGAGCAAAACTTGAAAGCAAAAAGTACTATAAAATCTGTTAAATTATTACTTAAAAAATAGGATGAGAAAAAAAACAGGATGAGATCAGTTTGCCAATTGCAATCCATAAAAGGAAACACACACACACACACACACACACACACACACACACGATAAAGAACTGATATCATAACTCAACTGGTAGTCACACATCCTTTAGACTAAATAAAACAATATTTGAAGGTATTACCAATTTACTATTGTTTAAGTCACCTTTCTCTATTATTTAAGTTTAATTACTTAGTGACTTATCAAAACAACAACAAAAAACAAAACACAATTTTTAAATTTCAATGTCTCCTCATCCTTTACATATCAGTACAAACCTCATACACAACATCCCAGAGCTAGCACTACTTCAGTTATGGCACACAGCAAGTGAACACGCTTTAAATGGAAAAAGCAACTCTACCAAATGGCTAAAGGGTACAATTTTGGACTGGATCAGGAAATGAAAGTAGAATTCATTCTGGTTAAGGCATCTAAGTATCTGAAAGCAGTGTTAATTGCAGAAGAATGATCAAAAAATTTTAAAACTTAGCTAACATAAATCTTAACTTACTTACAAATATCATAAATACAAACCCGAACAAACTATAAATCACAGCCTGCCGATACATATTATACAGTGCACATTATACTTGTCTACGTAACACTTTTAAAAATCTTATTGCTTCATAGTCTATCTTTACTGTTGAACTATAAGCATCAAAGGACAAAGACCTTACTCGCGTTGCTTATTGTACCCCAAGAGTAGAAGCAGACCTCGCACATATCAGGTAATCAATTAACATTTGTTGAAAGAAGTAATTTTTTGAGGGCCGGGGATTTAGCTCAGTGGTTTCGCCGCCTGCTGCGCAAGTGGAAGGACCCAAGTTCAATCCCTGGTACCAAAAAAACAACAACAAAAAATAATAATAATAATTAAAGGGCTAGAGATATATCTCAGTAGTAGAGCATTTGCTTAACATGCATAAAGCCCTGGGTTCAATCCCTAGTACCAAAAAAGAGGGAGGGAAGGAGAAACAAGCAAACAATGTATCTTCCTCTTGAAAAAGAATATCCTCCAGAAAATGTTACACACACACACAAAAAAAGTTGTTTAATGGAAAAAAAAAAAAAAGAATATCCTCCAAGGAAAAAGAAAGATACTTAGGAACCTTGAGTGTCAGCAATCTCACAAAGTCAATGTCCACTTTTATTTTTAACCATCCCCATAATTATCTACCTCCAGTCTGCAGGAAGTGAGACTCCATACAGAGAACAGAACTGGGAAGATTAAAGTAGAATGCAGGGAAAGGAGGATGAAAACACCTTCATTTAGAATGCACTTTTTCTCTTTTAACATCAACTGTAAATAAAAATTTCTTGGTGATAATTTAGTATTTTGGTAGAATTTTTGAGTAACAGTCTGAATAATGCCAATAGCGGTATACACCTGAAATCTATTTCTGTGCCTTGGTTTTCTTCTTTGCAAAATAAAGACACAACAGTCCTTTCTTTCTAACTCCATAACTCAATGATAGTCTCTAGAGCACAGATTCCCAAACTTTCTAGATTCACAACACTCTCAGTCTCAGTACTTTTCTCACAGTAGCCCTAGGCCAAGAACTGCGGAGTAATCTTTCTACTTATTCAGTAGTTGTTAGCCACTGGGAAAAAAAATCTACCTAAATTGAAAAAAACCTATACTTTTATTTCACTCTTAAGTAACTATTTCTTTTGGAACATTCCTGTTAGACACTGAACAATTTCTCAACCCTTGGAATTAGAGTGCACACTGTTGTTCTATTTTCTGATACAGGCTGACCGTCATGATTTGGGGATGGGGCATTTTAAGCTGAAGCCACAATATCAAATTCAAGCTTTCAAACAAATTTTGAAGAGAAAGATAACCTAGTACTTATAAAAGGATAAATCATAATTACATCCTTCTAAAGGATGTCTTAATTTGCCAAAAAAATTTATAAACTAGGATTTTAAAAACGGCACTAGAACTGCCTTAAAATTAAATTTATAGAGCAAAACTCATTTGACTGTTTCAAAAGATTTTTTCCATAAGTATAACTCAGTATCTACTTGTGCTCACAACACACTAAAAATTTAACATTTTAATTCCAAATACACTCTGGTCATTTATCTGAAAAAAATCTTTAATGAAATCTGTAATACAAGAACATTTGTAAGTGCTTAGTTTATGAAAGGATTTCTGAAGCATTATTTCATTTGATCTTCAGCTATTATCACTACTAAAAAAACCCTGAGGTCCATATAAATTAAATGATTTGCCCTACAATCTACACAGTAACTGCTTAACACCAAAATCATGGTCCCTCCCACCACCCTTGATTTTTTTTGAGACAGGGTCTCCTGTAGTTCAGTCTGGCCTTGAGCTCACTGTGTAGCCCAGGCTGGCCTCAAATTCAGTGATCCTCCCGCCTCAGCCTCCAGAATACTGGGATTACAGACATGCCCCACTAGGCCCAGTTTAAACAACCATGTCTTTTAAAAACCTCTAGCACATCACAACTCCTTTCGAAAAAGACTCAGTTCAAGTCTTCTTGGGTAAACTGGCATTGTTTTAACAACTATTCCACATAGGCTGCCCATCATCAAAGTTCAGAAAAAAATCTTTTCCCTATACAGTAAAGGCACTCCACATGCATTTGCCAGGTGTCTTGGCCTGTGTAACATTAATTAATAATTATTCTTAGATCCTCTTATGACGGGAGCTATTATTATCGATCCCTTAGCAACTATACCCAACAGTAACTCAGGGGCTAAACAAAATGATTCCTCTTATCCCATCTGTACTCAGCTAGTGGCCCAACGTACAATGCTACAAGTATCAAATTAACTCCAATATTTTTTCTTCTTCTGATATTGATACAAGCTAAATGCACTGGTTAAAATACTTAAGAGGAATTGAAAGGTAAGCAATCTTGTACGCTACCCAAAATACAATGCCATCCCAAAAAGCCTATGCCTCTTAACCTAGTTCAAGTAGACTCCAAAAACAATTTACAAGCAATCCATTCTCTAAATTCCTACATTTTTCCAATTTTAGTAAATGTGCAGCCAAAGCAAGCACATTCCTACATTTTTCTGACAGATATATTATTTCCCAAGGCATCTAAAAACAATTTACTAAAGAATCCTGCTTCTCAATGACTTTTCTTATGTAAATACAATTTGATAATTAAACTATATTGGGAGGTTAATTTTTAAAGTTCTGCAGAAAGTCTGCTAGGAGATAATCACTCCCACATTTTATACTACGTTAAAATTCAACCTTTTATAAGCCATAATTTGTTAAAGATAGAGAAGAGATATAGACCTGGGTATAACTGCTGTATCAATGCGAGTATTTGGTGGCGAAAACATCATTCATCCTGGGGCCAGGAATTTAGCTCAGTGGTTCCACCGCCTGCCTCGCAAGCACAAGGACCCAAGATCGATCCCAGTACACACATACACACTAACACACACACACACACACAAATCATTCATACTCTCTACAAGCAATATTTTGAATAACTTCACACTTGGGCCCTCCCTACCATGTAAATAAATATATATTGTTAGCAGAAACTTCTTCGTTGCCACAGAGAATAGAAGAGCGACTCTGCTGTCTTGGAAAGGAAACAACTATCTATCCTGTACAATACCCAATCCACTCTGGCCATCTAATACAGACTCGAAGAAAAAAAAAAAAAAAGACCTATTTGGAAAACGTTTCTTCTCCAGCCAAGAGCTGTTCCCAGATAAAGGCAATGCTCAGAGTACAACAAATAAGCCTTCTTTGAGAGAAGAAATGTGCCAGAAAAGGAGAGGCATGGATCAAGAATAAATGGGGGTGAGTGTTAGCAATCAGTGTGAGGGCTGGAGGCAGCAAGCGCAACGCTGAGATGCTCCAGCAAAAGAACCACCAGCAGCAGCAGGAAGTTTCAATGGGGCCGGGCAGAGCATGCGCCCTGCACCCGCGCGGTGGCCTTATGTGGAAGGAGCACCACTTGCGAACACCAATAATAGACCAGAGGCACCAGAGAGAGAAACATGAGCAACAAGCACCTTCTTCAACTGTTTCCCCCCCGCCGTCAAAGCCCCTCCTCCAGCCTACAGACTAACCACTCCACCCAACCCTGCAAATGGGAAGGCGACTTCTTCCCCTAAGCCTTGCTGCCGAGATGAAGGGGGAAGGGTTTGGAAAAGTGGGGAGATGCTTTTCTATTATTTAGGGGGAGGTGGGGAGAGGAAGGAGGAAAACTATGGAGGAGGAGAAATTAACCCTTTCCTCCCCAAAGTGGAGAAGCTGAACGGACTTCCCTACGCAAGAATGGAGAACCCCCTCCCCTGCCTCAAGAACAGACCTCCCTACTCCAAGAAAGGAGTTTGGGGGGTTAAACCAGTCCTGGAGGGGAAGGAAAGAGAGATGAGCCTACTCTCGGGGGAGTTCCCACCAGAGGGAGGGAGAGTCTGGTGTCCGCCGGCCTCCGCCCACTCAGGTAGAAGGAGATAAGGGGGCGCCCCAGAAGATGGGCCCCCGAGATGGTCGGGAGGCTTGGTGGGAAGAGGGGAGAGGGAAAAAAGCCCAAGGCTGGCCGGAACCTGCGCTCCCCTTCCTCCGCCACCTAGAGGGAGAAGGGGTGGGGGACTAGCCCGGACGAGCGAAGACATCTCAGGGGCCGCCGGCCAGCACAATGACCCTTCCCCGCCCCCAGCCCACACCTACCCGCGACGCTCCCACCTCCGCTCCCCGCCGGGCATGGTGGCTCCAGGGGGCCTCGCCCCGCCTCTCCGCTGCCCAGGACTCCGTGCAGAAGACGGGCCCGGCGGAGCAGCGCCGCGGGGGGAGGACGAAGCCGCCAAGGCCCAGGATGTCGCTGAGAGCGGAGAGAAGAGCGCGCCAGGGCGGCTTCCCGCCGGGCGTTCGGGCCCCTCGCTTACCTTCTCCGTGGCCGACGTCCGGCGGTGGCGCTTGCAGCACCCGCTCCAGCTCGGGGAACGGCAACTCGGGCAGGTCTAGCAGCGGCCCGTAGCGCTCCAGGAAGGAGCAGACTACGGCGAAGTTGGGGCACGAACCTGGGCAGCCCGGAGGAGCCATCGCCGCCGCCGCTGCCGCCGCCGTCGCCATTTTGAACTGGAGGATGGAGGAGGAGGCGGCGATGGGGGGGAGGGAGGAGTTGGGGTGCTGAGGATGGCAGGGCAGCCTTCCGACGACAGGAGGCGCTCTCGAGTGGGCTCCCCTGCGGATCCCCGCGTCTCTAGGTCCGCGCCGCGATCCCACAATACCACGGCGGCGCGGAGCAGTCGAGAACTGAGCCAGACGGGGGACAGAGAGGCGCTCTGTGCCTTTCACTTTCCGTCCTCTTTCCGCCCCCTTTCCTCCCCCTACTCCCCTCCCACTTCGGTTTGCCACTGCCTCGTGTGACAGGGGGAACGAAAACAAGGGAAGCGGGGCGGGGAGGCGGGCTGCAGGGCGGGGGCGGGACTTTCTGAAAAAAAAAGGTAGCCAATAGGCTTGAGGGGGCGGTGCCTATGTGCCCAGCGGCCGGACGCTAGTTCCCGGGAGGGGAGTGGAAGAGCACCTGGCTGAGAGCCCCCGGGCTCTCAAAGGTGAGAGAGAAAGTGCAGCGCAGTCCGGAAAGCGGCTCTGAGAAGAAAAGCGTTGCGTGAGTTTTCGCGGGATGAGGAGTGAATCTAGGAACTGAAACGGCCACAAGAGAGAGGGGGAAGTTGAGAGAGAAATAAGACTCGGAAAAAGAGCAGAATTGGGAGGAGCGCGAGTGTGGGAGACAGAGCGGTGCAGTGAATTACCCGTTGGGACGGGACACTTGTCCCGAAGTGCTCGCGAAAGTTTGCTGAGAGCTGTTACTCTCGTTGGGTACAAGAATCTGCTACGTGCTCTGCCGGGATCCCAGAGCGAGGAGCTGGGCCCTGCGGGGCGGGGAGGGGCGGGCCAGGTCTGGAAGGGACCGGCTTTGCCGAGGACCCCAGGGTTGCGGGGAAGGGGCTGCGCTGAGGCCCCAGGGTCTCAGGTCAGGGGCGGCCCAGTGGGGGCTGGGTGGAGGAGTGGACTCGGCCTCCACAAAGAGGGCGAACGTGCTAGGAGACAGTGGAACAGAAAGAAGTTTAATACAAAGTTCTGTTTCGTAGCGGTTAGTCATGTACGTTCTTCCACAAAGAATCCCACTGGAAAAGAAAAATACCAGCAGTACACAATAGAATGTGCAGCCTAGGAAGCAGCTCGGCCTGATTTGAGTCCTACCAGAACTACTTTATGACATTCTGACCCTTCCTTGTTTCTTTGAACTTCTGTAAAATGGGTTACTGTGTTACTAGCACCTACATCATAGGGGTTTGATAGATAATTCGCAGTAAACTGCTTAGCTCAATGTGGTGGCACATTGTAAATACTTTATTCATTGTTAGCCGGGTGTGGTGGCGCACGTCTGTAATCCCAGTACTAGGGACGCTGAGGCAGGAAGATCACTGTGAGTTCGAATTCGAGGCTAGCCTGGACTCCATAGTGAGTTCAAGGCCAGCCTAAACTACATAATGAAACTCTCAAAAAAAAAAATTCATTGTTGCTGTTAAAGAAATGTGTTCCTGTAATTTAAACTGAATTCAGCCAAAATTTGCTTATTTGAGCCAAAACTTTCAGTGCACTTAAAATTTACCTACTATGTTCTAAAAATAATTTAAAGCAAGGTACATCCCAAAGCACATAAAATAGGAAAATCTATGACTGAAGGAAGATAAAGAAATATGTGATCAAATAATTATATCAGGAACATGGAGAATAGTTACAAAGTTTCACACTGAATTTTATTCTATGTTACCAGGTCAAAAAATTAAAAAGAGGGCCCAAGGGTTTAGCTCAGTGGTACTGCACCTGCCTCACAAGCGCAAGGTCCTGAGTTCGATCCCTGGTACCAAAAAAAAAAAAAAAATTAAAAAGAGGAGAAAAACCGCAGTGGTCTATATTATTATCTAAAGAATAAAAAAAAATTATCAAGAGAGGAAAAGAATTCTGTAAAAGAAACTTATTACCTAGAATAGTACTCTAAATGTGAGTAATAAACCCTGTTAAAGGAACAAAAATTATTTTGGGGTCCAGGGATTTAGTTCAGTGGTTCAGGCACCTGCCTCGCAACCACAAGATCCCGAGTTTGATCCCTGGTACAAAAAAAAAATTTATTTTGAAACTTGGCAAATACTTATGAAAATTCCAGTTTAAAAAACACTAATATAAGAAATTAAAGTCTAATCAACAATGTGGATGCATTTAATGCTACTGAAGTATATTCAGTACTTTAAATGTTTTAAATAAGTTTTGTGATGTGTGTGTGTGTATGTGTTTATCATACATGTGGGGTGGGGTAGGGGTATTGGAGGTTGAATACAGGGCCTTTACACTGAACTACATCCCCAGTCCTTTTTTATTTTCTATTTTGAGACAATCTTGCAAAGTTGCTCAGTCTGGGTTTGAACTTGTGATCTTCCTGCCTCAGCCTCCCAGAGTGCTGGGATTACAGACACGCATCACGATGTGCAGCTCAGAATGCATTTTTAACAACTTTGTGGAAAGATCTAAAACATTTTCATACAGTCTTGACTTAATTGACCTTAAATAAAAGCCAGCTATACAGTATTGAAAATAAAATCATATCTCTGCTAAGGAATTGCTGTAGAAAGAACTTGCCAATCAAAAGGAAGATTTCATTCCATATCATTATATGAATGTTACTCATATTTCTGTCTTTCAGCTCTTTGGCACCTCACTTCCCACTCTCCCATAAAGTTGAAAAATAATATTCTAAAAAGGAAATAGAGCAGGGGATGGAGCTTAGTAATGGAGCATTTGCCTGGCATGCAGAAGGCCATGAGTTCAATCCCTAGTACCACAAAAGAAAAGGAGTAAAAGCTTTTAACGCTTCATCACCGTACTTTTCTCTGTCCTCACACTGTTATTCAAAGGGAGAGTGATAAATAAGGTTAGAGTTGTTGCCTTGTCTGATCCAGGTTGGCATGGGAACAAAGTCCTCTGGACTTAGAAAGTTATATCCAGTCAAAAGATAAGAAGGGCTGGGGATTTAGCTCAGTAGTTCCGCTGCAAGCGAAAGGCCCTGAGTTCGACCCCTGGTACCAAAAAAAGATAAGAAGTATCTTACTACAAAGCAAGGTTTAGGCCATCCCTTTACAAAGTCTGTTCTTGAAAAGAAAATAAACACACATCCCATAATACTACCTACCATCTATTTCCCTTCTGCGCTAACAGTATGAGAGTCTAATCCCAATTTATGAGCCAGGCATGCTGGTACACACCTGTAATTCCAGCACTCTGGAAGTCTGAAGCAGGAGGATCTACAAGTTCAAGCCCAGCTGAACTTATAACTTAAAACTTAGTGACTTAGTGAAACCTTTTTTTGTCCCAAAATAAAAATTTAAAAAGGGCTGAGGAATCGCTTCTCGGCCTTTTGGCTAAGATCAAGTGTAAAAAGGGCTGAAGATGTAGTTCACTCAGTATAGAGACCCTGGGTTCAATCCCCAATACAGGAAAAAAAAAAAGAAAAGAAAAGAAAAGAAAATATATATATGGCTACTTTATTTACATGTCAATTGCAGAATAGCCCTTGCCCTGAGCCTTCTATGTATAATTATTAATGTGTGTGGCTTTTTTTTGTTTAGTTTGGTTGGTTCCTGGTTTCAAAAGTTATAATAAAGCAACAATAATCAAGACTCTGTGGGACTGCCATAGGATAGCTGCTGTAGATTGTATCTCCCTACATTTCAAATGACTTCCCTAAGTTAGTATATTTGGAGATTGCACCTTTAGCAGGTAATTAAACTGAATGAGTTCTTGAGGGTGGGCCTTAACTTGATAGAATTGGTTCTTTATAAGAAGAAAATGCCCTACCTTTCCCTGCAGGTACAAGGAAAGGGCATGTGCAACCCCAAGCAGAGGGCCCTTACCAGACACCAACCTGGATAACACTTAACCTTGAACTTCCCAGCCTCCAGAACTGTAAAAAATAAATTTTTTTGTTTAAGCCATTCCATCTATAGTATTTTGTCATAAGAGCCCAAGCCGACTTAATAAACAGCCATATAGGTTAGTGGAATAGAATGGTGAGTCCAGATATAAATCCATACATGTAGAGTCTATTGATTTTCAACATGAATACCAAGGCCAACCAATGGAGAAGGAATCACCTTTTCAACAAGTGATATTGGAGAAATTGTAGATCCATACAAAAGAATGAAGTTGGGCCGGGGATGTAGCTCAGAGGCTGTAGATCAGTGGCGCCGTGCCTGCCTTAGTTTGATCCCCAGTACCAAAAGAAAAGAAAAGAAAAAGAATGAAGTTGAACTCCCTAACTACAAGTAGGTCATCTCTGAGACAAAAAACTCATAATGGTTCAGATATAAATCTAAGACCTAAAACTATAAAGTTCTTAGAAGAAAACAGACATAAATCTTTCTGGCTTTGGTGTAGGCAGTGGTTTCATAGGTTTGACATCAAGAGCACAAGCAACAAGAGAAAAAATAAATGTAGTTGGTCAAAATTTAAAACTTTCGTAGTTCAAAGGACATCATCAACAACATGAAAGACAACCCACATAATGAGAGAAGATATAAGATGCCTGTGCCTACAGCATATAAAGCAACATTATAATTCACAATAAAAAATATAGCATTGGACTGGGGGTTTGGCTCAGTGGTTCCTTTGCCTCCCTTGCAAGCCTAGGGTCCTGAGTTTGATCCCTGGTACCAAAAAACAAACAAACAAAAAATACAGCATTACTATAATCCCAGCTACTCAGGAGCCTAAGGCAAGTGCATCACAAGTTTGAGGCCAGCCTACTTAACATAGTGAGACTTTGTCTCAAAATTAAGTAATAAAGATCTGGGGATGTAGCTCAGGGTCAGAGCCCTGGCCCACCAAGCATGAAGCCCTAGGTCCAATCTCTAGTACCACCACCACCCCCAAAAAAGAAAAGAAAGCTGTGATTTCTGTCTCTCATGTACTATGTAGCCACTGAAATTCCTGTTTAGGTTCTTTTTCCTCCCTCTTATTTTTATTTTTAAGCCTGGATTTCCAGGGGTTCCCTCTTTGTCTGCAAAGCTTACTAGTCTGCCAAAGATTCATTCAAGATTTTACTCAAACACCTTGACCTACTTAAGATTTTCATGCTCTACTGATGGATCAATGTGTATACTGAGGAATGAACTCAAAATTCTTACCTTTTTTCACTGGTTTTTACATCTTACTGGTATCCCTTGAGCCTTGCTTGTCCTCTGTATATGCGCTCAGGCCCCATTAGCCTGGAATGTCTGGGTGAATTAGGCTCTATCAGGTCTTTGATGCATCAGCTCACGACTTCTAGTCCA